AGCCGTGAAGGAGGGAAGCTTTCTACCTGGTGTCACCTATCCTGAGCAAAGAGAGCAAGTGCGCTCCTGGCCTAAGCCCAGAGAGCAGAGAGATGGTAAGAAGGCACTGGCACCTCGGGCTGGGGATGTAGGCAGTGGCAAGCAAGGGGGCCAGGTGTCCCAGCCAGTCACTGCGTTCCAGCAGAGCAAGCTCCATCTGAAGAGAGGGTCAGGCTCAGCCTCCTCCCCTGTGCTCCTGGAACCTGCTGAACCTCTGCCTCGTGGCTTGCTCAGTTCCCACCAGGCTGCATCTCAGGACGCTAAACCCAGCAACTGGATGTTCCTAGGGGACAAAAGGGGCTGTGTCCTGCCCACAGCAGAGCTCCCAGAGACAGAAAATGAAGTCTGTGGGTCCTTCTCAGCCAGCACAACCACTGAAGGAGACACAAGGCCTGCAATGACAGATGACAAACCTGAATGGACCACTGCCATTGCAGGAGACAAGCGTCATCTTGGAGAGGGAGTGAACAACCCACAGCCTGCACATGTGCCAGAAAGTCTTGAAACCAGAAACAACACAAAGAATACGAGACAAAAATACAGAGATGAGGGCATTGATCCCCCTGAACGCAAAGCTAAACACCAAGCCCCCCACATCCCTGATGTGCCAGGGACCCCCAGTGCAGCACCCAGCTCCCCAGAGCCAGGAGGGCTGAGTGCATCACCTGACATAGCTGAGCTGCTGGGTGAGACACCAAAGATAAAAGCTGATGAGCTCCCTAGGAAGCAGACAACAGTCATTCAGGAGGAGAACGTGCAGCCATCCAGAGTAAGTCATTTGGCTGGAGAGCTGAGCACAGGGGCACAACTTGAGAAGACAAGCAAAACGAAAGAAGTAAATCCATCAGGATTTCCAGAAGAACCCAGTCATGATCACACAGCTCAGGAGAACAAACCAGAAAACAACAGAATCTCTGCACTTGGTTTGCCAGAGGTGACAGATGACCACAATATGTCCCATCTACAAGAAACAGAACCTCAGGCCGTATGTGGCCAACTGGTAACTAACCCACATAGCAGTGTTCTGGTACATGATGCAAAGCAGGAGAGTGCTGGAAGCTGCTCAGATACCACCGAGGGCAAGGAGACCGATGTCCTGTTGTTGGCTCCTGGTACAAGCTTTTCAGGTGATGATAAACATCAGAGAACTGAAGTCAATGTCTATGACCAACCAGCTGTTGGCAAGCAGGTTCAGCAGCCACAGGACAGGTGTTGTCCATTTCTCTTGTCAGCACAGGAAAATCAGAAAGAAGATGCAATGAGCTTTGAAGGTGGAAGAAACCCTTTTTATCCTCCTCCAGAGCTTACGTCTGCAGTTGATTACAGCCAAAAAAATCTCACTGGGGATGGAAATCCACATGCTGGGCATACACGTGAAAGTCAGAACTTAATGAGTTTGGATGTCCAGAACACAATGGTAGAGGATGGGATTTCTTCTTCATCAAGTAATTTAGGAAAGTTACCCCAGAAAGTTGGGATTCAACTAGCCAACATGGATTTTCAAGACAACAATAATGTTTTCATATCTGTAGAAAACGAAAGACAAGATTTTCCCCAAACAGTCATCCCAAATTTAGGTTTGCAAAATGCACAGACAGAAACTCCACCTTGCTTTGATCCAAATCCCTCCACGCTGGGTCAGGAAATCCTAGCAGAAACAAACGCTCCACTGGTAGCATGGGACACCTCCAGCCTCCTGTTCCTTGCTGGACAGGATGAGGTTGTTACCGGACACCCAGGAGGGAGCCAGAGCTGTCCACCACTGCAGCACTTTGGTGCACAGTCCCAGGCTCCCAGAGACGCTGAGGGTGCGTTTGGATTGGGTCCTAGTGCTGAAGGCCCAACAAACAAATACCTCCCCGTGCAGGAAGGCAGCATTCCCCCATGCTACCTGTTCACCAGCCATGCTTCTGACAATCAGAATCTCTTTGATCCGTTAAATGATGTTTCAGACCAACCTGGCCAGGATGCTCATGCACAAATAGGAAGGAGCAGAGAAATATCAGAAGCTGAAGAAGTTCTGGAAAATCTCTCCTCTGCAGACCCAAATGTGTCCAATGATGGCCTTTTCAAACAGGAGTTCTTCATATAGTTGGGGGGAAAAAAAGAAGAAGGGCTTAGAAATCTGCCACCCTTCTGGCACTGGGTGAATTCAGTTGTGCATTGGCAGATTTATTAGCAGATTAAGGAGCTAAATTTAAGATCTCTATCCTGATCGTGGCGGATCAGTGCTCAGTTCCCAAAAAAAGAAAGAGCATCACAAAGTCTGGCTTCACTGTGAGAAACCTGCAAGGGGAGAGTCATACCTGCAGTGGGACCAGCACCTCCATCTACTGCAAGGCTTCCTCTGAGGATGATTGCATGGCCACTGTCTACAGCACTGAGCAACATGCTCAGCAAGATCCTGAAACTCCCAAGACAAGAAAGCTGTTATCAGGAAGGAACTGACTCCTTGGCCATAAGTGCAAAAACAAAACACAATGGGCAAAGGCAGAGGTGAGGAGGGCAGGGTGGATATTTGGCTCCAAATCAGGTCTTTGCAATAGTAGTGCTTCCACACAAATTCGATGTCCTCCCGGAGTCTCATGATACTTTCCCTTTTTTTAAACAGCAAAATTACTCCACATGGGAGGTTACCATTGTTATACTTATTTTATGATGATAGGTAAAGATAAGCAAATGACCTTGCCAAGGTCACTCAGTCTGAAGGCAGAGGAGGAGAGGGAATCCAGGTCTCTTGTGGCATTCATTGTGGCATCGCTAGCTCTGCCCTCCCTATGTGGTTTCATCTCAACCCCCCTAGATGCCCACTGCTGCCTCAGCATGAATACTACAGGAACTAGCAATTACACTAATAATAAAGAAGCTCATC